AGATATTTAAAAAAAAAACAGTGAAGTTATGGTTAAGCAAACCATTTACAGTTCCAACTACATGAGAACCAAGGAAATGGAGTACTACAGAGTACAGTGACATTGCTTGGCCACTACAGAACGAAACATGAGGCACTTCCTCAGAAGGCATGCCAACCTCACCTCAACTTGCCTCTACTCTAGAGACTGAGAAGCTGAAATGCAGTTATCTCCTGAAGACTTTTGTGAAGGTTATTTTCCTAAAAACATCAGGCAGTCAAGAATATGTACAAACCACAGCATAGGTTTAATATATTAATCCCATTTAACAATACTCTTACAGTGTTTTTCCTCTTAGCATTTATCATCATGCTGTTGTATACATCTGCTTGCATATATCTGTTTGCAGCCTCACTCCAAAAGCTTTGTGCAGATTCAGTGCATAAGGCTTGTATATAATCGCATAGTAAAGGTCTCTGAATGCATGAAAAAGTAGACAATATACTATTATTACTCAGTTATCTGTGGGGGATTTGTTCCAGGAGGAGGCCTTGTGAACATTAAAATCTAGACCAAGGCTACAGAGTAAGACCCTGACTCACAAAACAAACAACAACAACAAAAAAAAAAAAAACAGAGGGGAGGCAGTGCTGAAGAGAGATGGACCAGAAGTTAAGAGTGCTCACTGGTTTTGTAGAGGACCTGGGTTTGGGTTCCAGCAGCCACATGGTGCCTGACAACTGTTTGTAACTCTAGTTCAAGGGATCCAACATCCTCTTTTGACCACTTCAGGCACTGCACAACATGGGGGTACTTGACCTGCTGATTACATGGATGTGTACATGTAATAATTAGCTATACACTTTGGAATTATTTCTCATATGTGCTACATTTTGAAATCTGTTTAAAAACAAGTAGAAAATATTTTTACACAATTATTATAGAAATGACCTCGGTGGGGTAGGAGCAATGGTGCAGCAGTTAAGATGAGTTTGGCTCCCGGCACCAACATGGCAGCTCACAACTATCTGTAACTACAGTTCCAAAGGATATGATGCCCTATTCTGGCCTCTTTTGGCACAAGGCATGTACATGGTGCATATAAATACATGCAGGCAAAACATTCACACACATAAAATAAATTTTTAAAAAAGAAAGTAAGAAATGACCTTGGCATATTATTGACAGGACTTAGCAATTTCAAACTCCTGGAAATATATTTTGAAATACCAAGAACCATTGTCTTAAATGGAAAATGAAACCACAGCTCTATTTATCATAGTGACTTACTCCACAGCCACACCTATCATTAATTATCTGTCCACCACCATACCTACCATGAATTCTGCAAAGTCTTTCTACCTGGTTTCTAGTTGTGCCCTGCCCATTTCTATTCCATCAACTTAAAAGCCACTATAATCATCTGGAAAACAGAAATGGTTACTCCTGTATTTATTTCTCCAATGGTCTATGGTCTTAGCTACCAGGGAGCCTGAGGCAGGGAAGGTCACTTGAACCCAAGATTTCAAAACCAATCTGGGTAACACAGTAAACTCCTGTCTCCCACTCAAAATAATAAAACAAACCCCTCCACTAACTTCCTACCTCACTGAGCATGGTACTCTATGGCTTTTGAACTGCCAAGGATTCGCTTCCTCAGATTACAATAAGGCACACACTTGCCATACCTCTGCTTAAGTACCCATTTACCCATTTACACTAAAGTGCTGCTGAAGCCCGACATTCCCTCTCAACACTAGACTTAATGTTTTAACCACCATAGTTGCCACTATTTGATACACAATAAACTGATGCACTGGATACTGTCAAGTCAAGCAGAATGAAAGCTGCAACAGGGTAAGGATCTTGAATCATTGTTTTAGAAGATTCTAGGTATCAATGAACAACATCTATCATAAAGAGACATTCATTCTGAAGTCAGACACCAAGGTTCAAATCTCAGTAATTACTTACCAACACGCTAGTCTCAGACAATTAACCTAAACTCTCATGCAAAATGGAAGTGCTAACATATGCTTCCTTGGGCATTTATAAAAACTAGCAGATGATACGACTTTGGTCCAGTTAATATTTTTAAGTTTACAATGGATATACTAGACTCTAAGTCCACTGTTGAAACAGTCTGGATTTAACAATGGAATGACTTAATTTCTGACTGTAAGACAAGTTTATTGAGGTGTACCCCTGTAGTAAGCTGAAGAGCTACTATACACATCCATCAAAAAACAAATAAAGCAAACAAGTATCTACATGTATCAACAACTTGAAATGTATCTCTAATTTAACAAGCATGAAACTGGCAAGACGGCTCAGTGAGTAAAGGTGCATGCTAAGCTTGATTTCCTGAGCCTGTTGCTCAATGATGCTCATGATGGAAGGAGAGAACCAACTCTTGCTAGCTGTTCTTTGATTTCCACATGTGAGCCCCTCCCCAAGACAAATGACTGAAGGGATAAAGTGTTATTAAAAAGAGATGTTGGCTGATTATTAGTCTTTTTTAAAAAAAAAGAAAAAAAGAAAACAGATACCCACTATACCTGTATGTACAGGTAGCAGTGATAAACACCCAAATACCAATGGTATGGGTTCTGGATAGTTTTCAGCAGGGTTGGAAATCCACTTCTAACCAACAAAGCAGTCAGAAAAACAAACATCCATCAGTTGTATTGTTTTATCAGGGAATAGTAAGCTAGAAGGAGCAAATCCGGAACCCGTGTACACACCTCCAGAAGCCACAGGACAGGATTACTGTGACTTTTCTAGTGTCCTCTTTAGACTGTGGCTTTCAGCTTCAGGGTTACAGACAGATTATTTTATTTTTAACATGAGGTATTGATTCTTGCAAGGTATGATATGTAGGGGCAAAGGAACAAAGAACAAAATGAGAAAAGGGGAATCCAGATTAATAGAACCTTTTATCAAGAGATTTTTCTCAAGAAGCCAAACATGGGCCTCTGCATATTTGTCAATGGCCAGGGTCAGAGAATGTAGACAATACTAAAGAAAATCTGTAACAGAGTTCTTAAAATAGCACCCTTTGTTAATTGGATAGAACCTAGATTCTTTTGACCTGGAGGTTAAGAGTAGATACTGAGAAAACAATTAGAGGTCTATGTCGGGACAGAAGGCCACAACCACCCAAAGGATTCATAGGAAGACTTCATGCTTTGACCACAATGCCTGTGACACAGGTACTCAAAAAATATCCATTACCCAATAATACAACACAACTCTGAATATGCCACTGGTCAGGTTAAATTCTCCCAAGGGAAGCTAAAGCAAGAATGAAGATATAGTAAAAAATGCTATATACACATCTTTAATGAGGTCCAAAGGCTATCCAGAGGAGCATACGCTTAAAAATAATAAGACCAAGAAAATTAGTGGGCTTCAGTCTGTTTTCATGATGAAAGACTGTACAACCCCATAGATGATTAGATAGATAGATAGAGAGATAGATGATAGATAGATAGATAGATAGATAGATAGATAGATAGATAGATAGACAGATAGATGATAGATAGATGATAGACAGATGATAGATCGATAGATAGATGATTGATAGATATAGATGAATGATAGAGATAGACAGATAGATAGATAGATAGATAGATGATAGACAGATAGATAGTAGATAGATACAAGATAGATAGATAGATAGATGATAGATGACTGACAGATAGATAAATAGGAGATATAGACAGATGATAGATTAGATAGATGATAGATGATAGATGATAGATAGATAGATGAGAGATAGATGATAGATAGATGATAGATTGATAGATAGATGATGATAGATAGATGATTGATAGATAGATAGACAGACAGACAGACAGACAGATAAAGGGAACTGTGGCTAAAATCATTTCCACAGACAGATTTATCAGTAGTATAAGTGTTCATACATTTCTGGAAAGAACTGCATTTCACTGAATTTTTTTTTTTTTTTTTTTTTTTGGTCTTTTTGAGACAGGGTCTCCCTGTAGCCCCAGCTGTCCTGGAACTCACCATGTAGACCAGGTTGGCCTTGAACTCACAGAGATCTGCCTGCTTCTGCCTCCCGAGTGCTGGGATTAAAGGCATGTGCCACCACGGCCAGCTCACTGACTTTTTTTTAAAGCTCTAAAAAGAATTTCTCCTAATGCGAGGGTTCACAGGACTCACAAAAACAGATGAATTGCAGTAGACAATAATTCAGGAATGAGATTGTTCTCAAACTCAGCAATACTATTTTCTTCCATATAACCCTTTGCCGTGTATGGCTTCTTTGTATTATAGGATAGTTAGCAGCACCTCTGATGTTTTCCTGCTATATAGCCAATAGCACCACTCTCCCCGTTCTCAAAACCAAATAAAAAAAGTTTGTCCAGACATTGTCAAATATGTCCTGCACAGCAAAGCTGCACTGAGTTGAGAACCACCGTCACTGAGCAAAGCCTGGCAAAGCTTTTTTTATAAACAAGTGTATCAGAATTTGAGGGCCATGTACAGTCTCCGCCACAAGCTTTTACTCTTTAAAAATGAAACAAGTACTTTGGCTTGTGACCCACACAGAAATAAACAGAAGGCCAGGTGGCTCATACTTTCACGGACTTTCCCACATTCTTTACTTCATACATTTTTCTCTTTACTGTGACTTCTCTTTACTGAGACCAGGAAAGCTTTCCTAGTTGTTGTATTGACAGGTATTTACCCTAGTGTGCCCAGGTGACAAATGTTACTGATGTCATGATGTTATTTTTACATTAAATAACAAGCTGAGGCTTTGTTCCCTAAGTTCTTGTGTGTTTAAAAGCTTGACATATGCTGAAAGTTTCTCCATACACAATACAAATTTCATCCCACTTCCTGTGTTCTTACAGATATCCCAAGTGTGGAAAACCAACTCAAGTCTTCCCAGTCTTTGCACAAAGGAGATTTTCCCCTATGCTCGGGGTGTGATTTCGGATTCTCTGAGTGGACAGCTCATAAAAAATTTGTGACTTTGTCATACCTACCATGTTTCCTTTGAGTCCAAGTACTCACTGAAGTCTTTTCCACACAGATGGTGCAAAAAGCTTCTCTCCTCGGTGGGTTTTTACATGGCTTCGAAGGGATGAGTGGTCACTGAAGGTTTTCCCACATACAAGACATTCATAGGGCTTTTCCCCAGTATGGATCCTCCGGTGCACATTAAGGTTCGAGCCAATGCTGAAAGATTTCCCACAATGGTCACACTCGTAAGGCTTCTCACCTGTGTGACTTCTCATGTGCGTATTCAGGGTGGACTGGTTCCTGAAGGCTTTCCCACACTGCCGACATTCTACACGCTTCCTCACCAAATGGATGCTCATGTGCCTCCTCCGTGAGAGGTAATCGTTGAAAACCTTTCCACAGGCAGCACATTCATAGTGTCTCTCTTGAGTGTGTATCTTCCTGTGTGCAGTGAGGTTGGAACTTGCACTGAAGGCTTTCCCACAGAGATCACATCCATAAGGCTTCTCTCCAGTGTGAGAATTCATGTGTGTCTTCAGGATGGACTGATTCCGGAACGTTTTCCCACACTGGCGACACTCAACTGGTTTCTTCACAATATGGATCCTCATGTGCTTTCGCCGTGACAGGAGGTCACCAAAGGATTTCCCACACTCTTTACATTCATAGGTTTTCTCTATCATGTGGTTTTTCTTGTGTAGATTAAAGTTAGACTTCCAGCGGAAGGCTTTGCCACACTGTATACACTCATAGGGTTTCTCCCCAGTGTGGTTCCTGACATGTTCCTTCAGGTGGGAGGGGTGCTGGAAGGCTTTCCCACAATCCTGACATTCATAGGGCCTTTCTCCAGTGTGTGTCCGCTTGTGGGCAATGAGGTGGCAGCTCCGACCATAAGCTTTGCCACACTCATCACATTTGTAAGGTCTCTCACCAGTATGAACTCGCATGTGTATCTTCAGTGCTGAGAGGGTCCGGAAGGCATTTCCACACTGACTACAATCAAATGGCTTTTCTTTCAGGTGTGTTCTTGCATGGCTCCGCAGAGCTGAGGGGTCATTGAAGGCTTTGCCACAGTCACTGCACTTGTAAGGCTTCTCCCCGGTGTGTATCCTACGATGTCTTGTAAGGGAAGCACTTGTGGTAAAGGCTTTCTGGCACTGGTGACACTGATGCATTTTTCTGCCATCATACATGCTCACATGCTGAGTGAAGTGGGTTCTACTCTTGAAAGAAACTCCATAGCTATGGCGGTGATGGGGCCTTTTGTTTGTGGGCCTTCCCACTGGCTGAGTAAGGGGAGTGCCCAGGCTGAAGACTTCAAACAAGTGGGCATATTCAGATTTCTTCCTGAGATCAGATTTTTCCTGTTAAAACATGAAAGCTGACTTTGGCATTTTCCACATTATTTTTTTGGTGCTGATGGTTGAACCCAAGGCCCCATAAATGCTCAGCATGTGATTTAGCATTAGACTACCATCCCAGTCTCTTTCAGTCTTACTTCTTAATCCCTACATATTTAGTATCAATAGAAGCACATTACTGTGACTGAAGATGTCATACTTTGTACAATGTATGTTCTTACCTCATCTGAGCAAAGAGAAAGGTGGCTGGAAGTGGTGGTGGTACTGACTGATAAATCTAGTACTCAGAATGGGAGGAGGATTTTGTGTTCCAGGCTAGCCTGGGTTATACAGCAGGACTTTGTCTCAAGATAAAAACAAAAGCAGAAAAGGTGGTGCTACGCCATTAGGCTCTATGTACACTACTTTACAAAGCTTTTTTGCATACAAATTGTTTACTCTTTAAAACAAAATTTGAGCCCCACCACTCATAGAAATACTTACTTATCCGACCTATAACTGAAAGTCTGAGGCTAGGTTTGGGATCCTCTCCAAATTGACAAGACAGTAGGTATAAATATCAGTGGGTTCCACATCCAGATTTCAACAATCTCAGTCTCAAACTATTTAAAGACAAAATAACTACATTTATACTAAACATGTGCAATTTTTGTCATTAATTATCTGGACAATACAGCAGAACAGCTATTTAGACATTTTACATACCACACTGTATTAGCTATTACAGGTGCTGTAGAGATAATTTAAAGCATACAGCAGATTATATGAAGGTTATATGTAAACAATGCAAAGTGCTATTTTATACAAGGAAAATGAGCACTCTGAGATCCTGGTATCCATAGGAAGTTCCCCTTCAGCACTTCTGGAACTCTGTTTCCTCTCAAGGATGCCACTTGACTGATTCTTGAATGAACTCATTTTCTAACTATGGTAGCCTCATTCTTTTTTAATGTGCAAGAGTCAGAATTATCCCAAGGAAATCTTACCATCGTCATACTAGTGGATGCTTCCTCACCAAAAAGATCTTCCAAAAGAATAGACCACTTGGTCGTAGATGGAGTCTCCCAATCTGAAACAAAGTGGAAATTATAACTTATTATAAAAGAAAAATGACAAGATGATAGTGATAGAAACAAGTAGACTTCTTGGTAAATACCAGCCATGCACCAGGTAAGGGAAAAACAGCAAACACACAAATGGGTAAAATGATCATCCAAAACTTTTTTCCCTGTGTTGAGATATTTGGCAGTGGAGAGGAAATATAAGTCAATTCAGTGTCACACTAATAACAAAAGAACTCAGGATGATTGAGTAGAAAAGAATGAGACAGTCTTGAAATTATCTAGCTATCACAGGGTTTATGAGAAATGATACACTGTAAAGCAAACATTCCTAAATCTCCTTGGTGATATTATCTAGCACACATCCATACTTAAGTTTGGAGGGTATTTGTCCAAGGGGTTTACAACACTGAAGGCTTCATCCTCAGTCCTGCGACATAAAAATGGCAGAACCTTTAAAGGGATGGGGTGTATTGTGAGGTAATAGGTCACTACTGGCACAGCCCTAAGAGAGAATGATTCGTCTCAGAGAGTGAATTACTTCCCATAAATAAAGGCTGTTTCATAAAGGCAGGTAAGGCAACTCATGTCTATAATCCCAACATTCAACAGACTGTGGTGGGAGATCATGAGCCTGAAATCAGCTTGGGCTACAGTGATACCCAGTCTCAAAAAAGGAAAGTAAAACAAAATAGAAAAACAGTAGACTCATAAAACATAAGCATTGGCCTCTCCTCTCACTCTTGCTTCCTGTATCACCAGATGATGTCAGTCTTGAATACACTATCATACTATAATGATTAATCTTCATCGTTAACACAACTAGATTTAGCTTCATCATGGAAACATATCTCTGGGTATATCTATAAAGCTGATTCTGAGAAAAGTTTAACTGAGGAGGAAAGACCAACCTGAATGTGAACTGTAGCATCCCATGGGCTGGGAGGAGGGGAATCTCAGCTTGACAAAAGTACAAAGTGAGCTGAGCACAAACATTCATCGTTCTAAACTTCCTGAATGCAATTCAATGAGACCAATCACCTCACATTTCTGCTTCTGTGCCATTCCTGCCCACATGGACTAAAACACGGAACTCTTAAGTCAAATAAACTCTTCTCTTAAGTTACTTCAGGTATTTTGTCACAGCAACTAGAAAGCTGATTATACAAATGCCATCGGTCACACTGACATAGCTGGCAAAGAGACCATGATGGCAATATGTTCCTGAGCTTTCCGAACAGTGAGCTAAATAAACCTCTTCTGTTTATGTATTATTTAGCTGGGATTTATTAAGAGAAAGAGAAAATGGATCAATGCTTTCCCTCCAATCCTATGCTGACTAGAGTTAACAGCCAAAAGCACATCTGTGTCTGGTGCTCACCCACCTGGAGATGTACCTTGCTCAGTGTCTCTCTCCTCCATCCTTAGCTCCTCTTCCTGTTCCAAGTGTGAGATGAGGCTCGGTTTGCCAACCTGATACCCTACTCACAGGGAAACACACATGTTGAAGAAGGACTGTGCAGAGAACAACCCCTTACACTGCAGTCAACATTTTGGTCTTTAGGATTTTTCTGAAGGTGAATAAGGCTGACTTAGAGCAGCAAAATGATGGTGTCACATTTCTAAGGAACACAGTAAAAACTTTTCATAAAAAAACAAAACCATATATACCCTCAATTTCTGCCCTCTAAAAAAATGGGGTTTTGTTTAAGTAGCACTAGATTTAGAAGCCAAGGCTTTGCATGTGCTAGAAATGCAATCTACCACTGAGCTTTTACCCCTAACTAAACCAAGATGGTGAATTTTAAATTTTGTCTCTGTGTGTGTCTCTGTGTGTGTGCACATGTGCAACTGTACATACTGTGTGTAGTGTGTTCACAGATATGTCTCTGGGTATGAGAGCATATACACATGCAGGACAAAGATGGAGAATACTGGCTGTCTTACACTATCACTCCCCACCTTTGTCACTGGAGACAGGGTCTCTCACTGAAAATGGAATTTAGTTGGAAACAGTAAGTCCAAATGATCTTCCTGTTTCCAATGCCCACCAATCCCACAGCCATGGCATTAGAAACATATGTGGGACTATGCCCCATTTTTTATGTGGCTGCTAGGGATTTGAAGTCAGGTCTCCATGCTTATGCAGCAACTGCTCTAATCCACTGAGCCATCTTCCCAGTAAAAAATGGGAACTTCTTATCACACAAATTTATGGCCAAGCTCAGACACATTTGAAAACCTCCAAGGTCATTGTAATGGCCAGGTCTCTATACCCCTGAAAAGGTCAGAGCAATGGGTACAGCTTATTCTCAGCTGTGTTGGAAATTCCATCCAGTTGCTGTAGTAAATCAAGTACACAGGCAAACAGATGAGGGAATGTTAAGAGCCTTACCCAGAGATGTCAGATGGCTATAGTTCTCTAGCATCACATCTTTGTACAGTTTTCTCTGGGAAGAATCCAGCAGAGGCCACTCCTTCTCTGTAAAGTCCACAGCAATATCCTGGAATGTCACAGAGTCCTGGAACAGTACACAGGTTTCAGATCAGTGAGAAACCAGCTCATAGGACTACAGAAGAGGCTGAACACAGGGCATGAAACACCTGATCTGTGATTTCAAGATGTGGTCTGTTGAAGGTGTCAGCATCTATGTAGGGAGGATGGCCCCAGACACCTTCTCTTCCCTCTCAGTTGATCTGGACCTGTCTCCTTGTACTGACAAGGGAGACGATTGCTTTCCATGTATAGGCTGTCCTGAGAGTTCTCAGCTTTATTTCTCCTGTCTCTAGGGCTAAGCTTGAGCAGGTTTGAGCACTACGCAAGCACAACAGAAATACCTGCTACTCCCTGATAGCAACCCCAACCATCCAACTTTCCTTGACTCTCCTGGGCCTGATCAGACATGCACTAGCTTGGATGAAAATCTGAAAGAATTCTAAAATGCAGTGGTGGTGGTGATCTATAAAGCATTTGTCCCACCGTTGGTCCTTAAGATCGTATGTACCCGAGAATAACGACTGCTTGGTGTATAAGGTTCCAAAACATGGCAGGAAAATAGATCCAAGTTCTGTGGCTGGGAATGAAGAGGAAATTCTGACTCCTGGTTATCTGTAGATTCTTGATTGGATACAGCTAAGAGGAGGAAAAAAGATCTTGAGATTCAACTGCCCCTGAATAACTATGAGTAAACACGTCTGCAGAACACACACACACACACACACACACACACACACACACACACACACCCTGTCCCACACAGATACTCCATGTTTATTAACAAATCACAGCAGTCCTGTTTCTCTCAAAGACAGAAAAGCGAGTGGTGGGATACATAATCTGAGTAATATTCAGGTTATATATGCTATGCTGTTCCTGAAATGTTTAGGACCATGTTTAATTTTGGTTATTTTTTTTCCAAGTTTTGGAATCTTTGCATAAACATAATAAGATTATTTTATAAACAGAACCCAAGTCCAAACACAAAATCATTTATTCTTCACAGTTATACACTCAGCTAAAGGTCATTTGAGGTATTTTAAGTCATAGCAACCTGTTGTGTGAAGTTAAGATATACAATTTTCCACTTGTGGATGGCACGTCCATACTCACAAAATTTCAGATTGTGGATTCTCAGATTAGGGATGCTCAACCTGTATAGATTCCCAGTTTTTGAGTGAAGAAACTGAAGTCCTAAGAGATGAAGGTATTACCCTGCTCAAACTTATCACAACATCAACAGATCAGTTATTACCACCTTTACCTTCCTCACATGTCCAGAATACATACTCTCTTCTCTGTCCCAAACCCAGAGACTAATTAAGACAGTCACATGGGCGACTACTACCACTGCTCAGCTCACTCGTCCTGGCTTTGCTGCCCTCCATCTACATATCCCTTTTACTTTAGGAGAAACACATACTCAATTTCTGATGTCAAGCATGCAAGAACTTACCGAACATGGGAGACAGACTGAGGGCAGCCATTTTATGTGAGTAGGGTGACTTTGAGAGTCTATGGAAAACCAGGAAGCAAGATTGTTCTCATTGACTCTCTCAGCTGGCATCTGTGGTAAAGGAAAAGTCATCAGCAAAAGTCCATGGTTGTCTGTTTTTCCTGCCTACTGAGGACAGCTTAGTTCTGCTTCTTGGCATTTTCTCTTTTCACCAGCAAGCTGTCTGTCCTTGGGCCTTCATTTAGAAAAAAATTCCAAAGTACCTGGTAGGTCTCTGATTTACCTAAATAGGACCCAGTTTCACTCTCCTAAATGACTGTTCAATTCTCATTTCTCATTAAATGAATACTCTGGCCCCATGCTCTTGCTTATTTTTACCCTCAATGTCTGTCATCATTGAAGATGGCTCTACTCATGAAGGAGTTCTGTATAGGATCACAAATTCCCATCTCCAACATCCTTAAATCTACATTCCACACCAGTACCCACACCCTTGGGTCACTGCTTAGACTTAATCACCACTATAATCAGCTTTTCTTTCCAAACAATGGCTCAGAAATCCACTCCACCTGGGAATACAGCTCAGTGACAGAATACTTGTCAAGCATCAACAAGAACTTGGGTTCCATCCCTAGTGCCAAAGAAAAAAGGGAAGGAAGAAAAGAATGAATATGAAGTCCTAATTACTTTCTATTGTGATAAAAACCAACTTGGGGAGGAAAGGGTTTATTTTATCTTATATCTCCTGAGTCACAGTTCACCTCTGAGGGAAGTCAGGGCAGGAATACAGGGTAGGAATCTGGAGGCAGGAGCTAAAGTACAGACCATGGAAGAACTGCTTACTGGCTGGCTCTCTGGTCTGTACTCAGTCTGCTTTCTTCTATAACCGGGGTAGGGGTTGGGGCAAACTCCCACAGTGGGCTGGGGCCTCCTACATCAACCAACAATGGAGAAAATACCTCACAAGTTTCACAAGTCATGCCCACAGGCCAATCCAATAGAGCCCATTCCCAACTGAGGTTCGCTCTTCCCAGGTGTTAAGGTGACATCTGAAGCTATCTAGCATATCTGGTCTCTAGACAAAATATCTTATCTAACTGGCTTATCCCATTGTCTTTCTCATCTAAGAGAGGACCCAGGCAACCTATGTATTTGCCATATAGGTGCCTATCAGATACCTCTTCTCACTGCCCCAACTGTCCAGCTGAGATCTGTCACAATTCATCACATCAACAATGTACCTGTATCTTTCCAGCAGATGATTAGCCCTACTTGATTTCAACCATCTGCCCCCCGACCCTCATTAGGAAGGCCAGTCTGCATAATGTGAGTTAAGTCACACTGGGTGCATGGAAGCTCAGCATCCTTAGCACTAAAGGGGCACATGCGATTAATTTTTTTTTTTTTTTTAAGTATGCTGGTTAATCTCAGGTACTAAGTGAAATTGCATCAGCTTTTCTAAATTAAAACCCTTTTGTGGGCTAGGATACAGCTTATGATAGAGCACATGGCTAGCATGCCCCAGGCCCTAGCTTCCATTCCTAGCATCACCCCTACAGATATAGTACAATATAGTGTGCTTGTGTGTGTATGTGTGTGAGTGTGTGTGTGTGTGTATATGTGTAATAGAATCCACAGTCATATTTGGTTGCCCACATCTGTAATCCCATCACTTAGGAGGCTGAAGCTTGAGAACCACAAATTTGACCAACCTAACCTACATGAGACTATATCTTTTTAAAGAAAAAAAAAGGGGGTGGTGAACAACCCAAAAATTAAAAGAAAAAAACAATTTACAGAAAAGGCAATACTTGAGAAGGGGAAGGAGGTGACGATGAGCAAAGCACAATACAGAATGTGTATCAAGCCCATTATTTTGTATAATTAATATACATTAACTTAGAGGAGAAAAAAGAATAACTGCAGGGGCTGGAGAGATGGCTCAGCAGCTAAGAGCACTAATTGCTCTTGCAGAGGACCCAGGTTCAATTCCTAGTACTTACATGGTGGCAAAACAACCATATATAACTCCAGTTCCAGGGGATTCAACACTCTCTTCTGGCCTCTATGGGCTTTGCACAACATGGGTGCATTTACATACATGCAGGCAAAACACTCACACACATAAAATAAAAATGATAATAAAATATTTTAAGCAAAGAAAAACTACATGATAGGATTTAAATGGAAAGATTACAAAAGTCTAAGAGTTAGAACAATGTTAAGAAAGAAAAACAAACACGGAAGATTTACACTACTAACTTCCATGTAAGAAAAAATTTCTAAATAAGGAAAAAAAGCAGGGCTAGAAAGAGACCTGCATATGCAAATGATTTTTCAGTAAGGACATGAAGCAATTCAAGAGGGGAAAGAGTCTTCCTAATCAGTAATGTTAAAAGAACTCAATTTGAAAAGTGAACTTTTACCTTTATTTTCACTGTGAACAAAAACAATTACTTTGAATTTTAAAAACCTTTTAAAGGGCTGATGGTGGAGACCTTTAACCCCAGCACTCAGGAGGCAGAGGCAGGCAGATCCCTGTGAGATTGAAGACAGCCTGGTCTACACAGCAAGTTCCAACCCAGCTGGGGCTACAGGGAGACTCTGCCTCAAAATGAAACCAAACCAAATAAACAAAAACCTTTTAAGACAATCACAGAGAATATCTTCAGTGACCTCTGCATTATACAATGACTATAAACAGGAAGGTGTAGGCACAAGCCTGTAATCCCAGCAGTCAAAGAGACTGATATATGTAATCCAAGGTATTGATGAGGCTGAAAAAGGCTGAGAAGAGAGAAAAAAACAGAGGTGTGGGGGGAGATCAGGGAAGGGGAATGGAGAGGTAGCAAAAGGGAAGGTCAGGGGGAGACAGCTTACAAGAACTGGCAATAAATGAACGGATAAGAAAGTGTATATATATGTAATTAAGTAATGTCTATGGAGTACTGACCAGCTTAAAAGGAATAAAATTCTCACATATGTTACCACACACATAAGCTTTGAAGACATGAAGACATGTGTTCAGTAAAATCAGCAAGACACAGGAAGGCAGAGGAATGACTTCACTTACATGAAGTCCAACAGTAGTCAAATTCCTTCATAAAGACAAGAAAGCAGAAAGCTTATACCAGGGTCTGTGGAGAGAAAAGTGGGAGTTATTCTTCAAAAGCTTCCAGGTTTTAGTTTAAAAAGATTGCCAAGTTCAGGAGCTATCTAGTGGTAACGGCAACACAATGTGAATGTGTGGATCACTGCACAATGTACTATACAATGAAGCTAGTTTTGGTATGTTTATCTATATATCTAAAGTGCTAAAAGCTATTTCATGGAAGGAAGACCAAAGATAACCATGAAGACTATATACTTCAAAAACCTAGAAGAAAATATTTTAGACATTTTTACCATTATTATAAATGAGGAAAGTCAAAGATGAAATGTTAAAAAGAGATTTTTTTTTAAATGAGGTAAGGTATTATACACAAGGCTACCTTTGAGCCCAATGAGCTCAGTGTAGCTGAGGCAGGCCACAAAATTCTGATTCTCCTTCCTCCACCTTCCAAATGCTGAGAGCGCTACTGTGGGGGTACGTGCCTATCAGCCAGGCACTTGGGAAGCAGAGGCAAGATTACCATGATTTCAATGTCAGCCTTGGCTATAAAGTGATCCACTTTCAGAGGATCTGATATCCTCTTCTGGCTTCCATGGGCATGTATGCATGTGGTGCACTTACATACATGCAGGGAACACTCATACACATAAAAATAAAAAAAAGTACAAATAAATAAATCAAAAAGGTCTTTTAAATTGTGGTATTTTAACTGCACATATCATTGAGGTAACACGATGTATTGATATATGTAAATATATTATGCAGTGTTTAAATCAACATAAACATGTCTCCTGATTAACTTGACTGAACTTTGGGAAAAGGTACATATTCATATTTGTTGGTATTTGTTTGCTACAGAGCATCATCTTAGTTTGGATTCCTTTGTAGGAATTCTTTAATACTGCTAATACATTAAAAAATATTATGGACTATGTAGGCTACTTTCCAGTCACAATTCATTAAAATAAATAATAATCAATTCAACCAGGAAGTCATTCCTTTAATCTCAAGTACTCAGGAGGTTGAGGATCTTAAGCTTCAGGTCAGCTGGGGCTGCACAGTAAGATTTTATCTTAAAACAATGACAAAAATAAATAAATATTAGAAAACTAAATTTAACTAGGAAACCAAGATTATAATTATTAAGATAATAACTAAACTTGACGAGTATTAATCTACCAATATACACATACTCTCAAGTTTTACACAAAAGAAAGTATATGTATATATAAACTGAGATCAAATGAGATTAAGCATCATTCTTTTTGGTTATTTTCTCCCCAGTTCTAGGAACTGCCTGATCCTTATCCACTGATCACCGAGTTGCTTGTCCTTTCCTTACAAACGTTTAGGTTTCCTGTAATCCTAATGCTCCTTTGTTTCTAACAGAATTTTCTGCTACCCTTTCATTAACAGCATACACATTCTATTTTCTGCACCACCCCTTACAGGTTTTTCTTTACTCAGTGAGGTATACCCTACCCCTCCTTTTTGCTTTTTTAGCAGTAGGATTGTGCCTGGGCATGAAACAACTTTAGCCACTGAGCCAGGCATCAAGCTAGGATGAACAAAGGACTACCATCCTGCTGTACCCCTGACTGATTTAAGAGCACCACCACCAAAGAGGTGTCTCTTTGCCCAAGGCCACGGTTCCCTACCCCTACTTTTCTCATTCTACATTTAACTCTTCATCCATTTGGACCAGTCTGCTTTGAAAGTATACAATTCCTCCAATATCTTTTATTAAAGAATGTATAATTTGACAAACGTGAAATGATTTCTTTAAAAAGACTTATGAAAACGAGCAAAGGAGACCTATGTGGATGGTTTCGGGTCCTTTACTTTTTCAGTTCCAACAGAGTTTATCAGCTCAAAAGTTCACTGGCTCAAGACTCAAATCTTATATATCCAAATATTTTAAAAATTGCCCCCCCACCAAACAAAACCCCAAATCTGGCCACGTTAGGCTCACCTGATTTACATACATGTTTCACAGCACAGCTGTTAATTATTGATGCGACATATTGTTTTCACAGTTTTCTACACCAGATTCTCTGCCACACTTCAGAGTGACATGCCCTAAACAAGTAAGCCCTTTTTACGTCCCCAGAAGCCACTGCCCTCCTCCTCTGCTGGGTAGGGACAAGACAGCCTTCCTGTCCCAATCACTGAGCAGAATCCTGTTGCAAGAGACGACTCCCATATGTCAGTTCACTGCCCAGTCAAGTCTATGTGGACTACTGCCATGTCCAAGCTCCCTTGAGCCCCTATACAAACTGAACTGCTAATACATAAGAGAACAACATGGATTCTGGTACACTATCACCACCATATTGTTTTAATATTTTTCTGTAACTAATGTGTCTCATCAGCATTTTTCTTCATCAAAAACATTCAACATTGGGAGCTGGGGACATGGCTCAGTGAGTGGAGTTTGGAGCCCCAGAATCCACAATCCACATAAAGGCAGGCATAATAGTGCACACCTGCAAATCCAGTGATCCTATGGCAAGACAGAGATGGAGACTGGAGAATTCCTGGAAGCTTGTGGGTCAGCTATAGCTAGCCTGGTCTGTACAGCAGCAAACAAAGAGACTCTACCTCAAACAAGGTAGGAGAGGACTAACACTTAATGGTTTTTTCCACTCTCATGCCACAACCCCCACCCTAGACACACATACACACAGGGGTTGTGGAGTGGGGGGGCAGATTCTATGCTACATAGTAAGTTCAACTCCAGCCTGGGCTACATGAGACTCTGTCTGAAATGAAATTCAATACTGAGGCACTGTGAGAAACAGAGAAAAGGAAACGTGTTTATACCCTTGGGTGCCGCCTGACTATCCTGGGTTCTCTAGCATATAAGCACTAGTTCTCAGCCAACCTTGGAACAGGTCCTATGGCTATAATTAAAAGAATCTTAGGGGTCAACTGAGTAATAGAAACTGAGAATTGACATTTTGAACTGGAAATTCCAGAAACCCTCATGAATAAGAAGTACCAGAAAACCAGGAACTAGGAAAGTCCTCTGCCACTTAGTTAAACCATGGAGTGGGGTATACAGAGATGGCACAGGTGGGTAAAATGCTTGCTGTACAAGCATGCAGACATGAACTCAGATCACCAGAACCCACATAAAAGCTGGACAGAGTGGCCATTGTAGGCATTTGCCTGTAATCCGAGAATGTGGTGGAGGGGACAGCAGAAGGCTGGGGGCTCAGTGGATGACCATCCAAATAGAAACAGCAAGACCCAGGTTCTGTAAGATCCTGTCTCAAAAATAAGGTGGAAAAGTGACTGAAGGAGACAGTCAAATGTCAACTTCTGGGTTCCATGTGTGCTGGCACAGCTAAGGGCATCCATATACTGGGAGCAAACCACACACACACAATGAACAGAAACAAACCTGGAGTGAGAGTGGCCAGGAAGTTTGGAGCATTCTACAAAAATGGGAATTTCTTGAATGTGAAATATACATCAGAATAAAGCATCATGTAGTGTAAAAATCAACTGCAGACTAGGAATACAGTTGTCTAGCATGGTTGAAGCCCTAGGGTCACTCTTCAGTAATTAAAAACCAACAGCCAGGAGGCTAGAGGCCTGGCTCAGTGGTTAAAAGCTCTGTATACTCTTGCAGAGGACCCAGGTTTGGTTCCCAGAGCCCACATGGTGGCTAAAGACTGTCTGTAACTCCAGTTCCAGGAGATCTGATGCTCTCTTCTGGCTTCCATGGGCACTGGATGAAAAAGGTATACTTACATGCAGGCAAAACACTCAAGCACATAAAATAAAATAATTAAAAAAAACAAACAGCCAATTGCTCAGTGTCTCAGCAATAGAGCACAAAAAAATAGTTGCAAAAGAGTTATTTTTTAAAATATTTTATTTATTTATTTATTTTTTGACAGAGCATAGGGTAGGGGTTTATTTAGAAGAGTGGGCACCCCGCATTTACAGCTGTGCTGTAGCAAAAAGTTTCTACATGCTTTACAAGTTTGTAAGATTTGAGCTTTTGGTGAAGCCAAGGCGAGACCAAGCAGCAAATCTGTCTTGTCCTCAGAGAGCAGCACTACATAGGACCTCAGGATACAGATAGATGGAAGGATAATCACTTCTCCAGTTTGCTCTGTGAGGATGCCCCTGACCTTCATCCTGCCCAGGGCCGTGGTGTCACCATACCCTTTAAGAACCTGCTGTGTGCCTCTCCATCTATGATCTTTGTGGAGGAGCTTTAGGTACCAGGACTGGAGCACTGGAACAGGAACCTTCCATAGGCCAATTCCATACTTGCTTCCTGTCATTTTAGCAGGAGCCTCCATCACCCAGCAGCCACAAGCAATTTCTTAGGGCTCTGATCTGGATCTTCAATAAAGACAAATGGAAACTGGATCCCAACCCTGTCTGAAAAATGACAGAATACTGCAATTCTGTAACTGATGATACCTTCCCTTCTCAGACGAATACATGAGAAAATATTTTTAAAAAAGGAAAAAAGATAAGGTAACGTTCGACATTTGTGAATATTTTATTAAAGATATTAAAGAAGGAATTTAGGCTGGGCATGGTGGCATGTATACCTTTAATCCCAGCACTCAGGAGGCAGAGGCAGGTGGATCTCTGTAAGGCCAACCTGGTTTATATAGCAAGTTCCAGGCCCAGTGGGGCTACAGGAAAGGAAAGGGAAGGGAAACAGGGAAGGGGAGAAAAGAAGAAAGAAAAGAAACAGGAAAGATGGAATTTTAGACTCAACTACATTTGTAAAATACATTATTAATGTTTTCATTAACTTTTTTATGTTTGTGTGTCTGTGTCTATCTGAGTGTGAAGGCACACATGGAGGTCAGAGGACAATTTTCAAGAGTGAGTCCTCTCCTTCCACCACATGTGCCCCAGGGATTAAGCTCAGGTCAGCAGGCTTGGCAGCAAGTCCCTTTACCCACTGAGCCATCTCTCTGGCCTAATGCTTTCATTTTGATTTTTACATGCTATTCTACCAAATAGGCATATCAACTGAGAAGCTGTATGTCAAGATATTTTAGAATGTTTATGATTTTTCACCAAAGGAAAACATACACTTGAAATAGATCCTTGTGGCTAAGTTTCTATAATGGTTCCCCTTTAGAATCAATTTCCACATAGTGAAAGGGTTGGCCAACAATTATTGGCACATTTAAGCCCTTCATTAAGTATTAGAAATTATCACCTGAAACGCTTTTTCTGCAATCCTGTTAATAATGTACATATTTTTTACACGAGGACAAAAAAAAAAAAAATCTTACTAGTCAAGTTTTTTTAATCATTGAAAACTAGGCAAGAGACCAAGTGTGATGGCACCCAGGAGTCAGAGGCAGGCAGATCTCCGTGAGTTCAAATTCAGTCTAGTACAGCCAGGACTACACAATAAGACCCTGTGCCAAAACAAAACAAAGCAACGGGGACAAACAGAACCAGGCAAGTGATGCAAAATACATGTTCAGAAAGAGAGCAATATTCAATAGCTTGTAAATATGAAAATAAGGGGGAAGCAAATGGAAGA